AAAGTTTTTTTTTTTTTTTTTTTTTTTTTTTTTTTTTTTTTTTTTTTTGTCTTCATTAAAATTTGATCCTTCTTTAAGGGCTTCTAGTTTTTTAAAACATTTTGAGATGTATGCTTTCCTTGTTTGACAGGGTCAATTAATGGCACACCACAAGGAGCAGCAATGAACGCTCAGATGACAGATCACAAAGGTGAAGCTGTGGCCAATGAGCAAGTCATGATGGATCAACAAGGCCATGAAAATGAAAACAGAAATGCATGTTAGCATATGAACATTTTCAACACTCTCTGTCCCTTTTCCCATTTTTTTTTTTGTTTCTCAACCAAGATTCATATTTCATGTTATTAGTGTGAAATCATTCAATGTTTGTTGCTATTATTCCAGATATCCTTGAATTAAACACAGATTGGTATGGTTCAATACGAACTTTGTTGCTATTATTCCAGATATCCTTGAATTAAACACAGATTGGTATGGTTCAATGTGAATTTATCTACATTTATGAATGACAAAGACATACAATATAAATTGTAGAAATATGAGATCAAAAGTATTCTGAAATTTGACACTAATACCTGAGTCTAAAACATACCCATAAATTTAAACTCAATATTTCCATTTGTGTTTTAATGTGAATAATGTGATCCTTTGTAAGCCGTTGGTAACCATTTTGAATAAAAGAATATAATGAATAAAAGAATATAATGTAAACTCACTTGAGAACTTTCCACATAAGAAAACAAAACTAATAAATTATATCGAATTTTGTGTTATTTTCCATCCAAATTGTTAATAATAATTGACGGAGGAGGGTACATATTAAAACAAAATTTAAAATATAGTTTAAATTAATTAAAAAATTATAAATACTAAAGTAGAATTTCTCTTAAATTAAAAAGATCAATAATATAATTTTATCCCTCTCAAATATCAATGAATTACATCATACTAATAATATTAACCTACATAAGAAATTGGATAAATGTCACTAGTCTCTCTTAAAATTTGGAGAGAAAAAAAAAATCACAATTTTTACATAATTATATCGATCTTCTTTTTAATATGGTGAAAATGATCAAAATTAATGCAGATCATTTTAAAACACAATAATAATTAAGAAAAAAAATATTTCAGTGAAAAATAGATGGCAATATCATTTTTTCATCAATATGACTAAAGATATTGATGAAAATAAAATAAAATATGATGTGAATTAAAATCTTATAAAAACCTAATGTAATTCAAAATTACAAAATTTGCTATATCTTTTTGTTAATCTTAGGGAATATCAGTATAGTTTATCCTAAAAAATTTAACGAAAGTTTACACAACACATAATAAGAGTTGATTTAAGAATTGACTTTTTAATAATTTTTTAATTTTTTTAATAAATAAACGTGTAAAAAAATAAAAAGAATAATTAATTTTTTCGTATTTACTTTTAACGTTTTGATTAAAAGTTTGATTTTTTAAAATAAGCCTAAATTCAACAAAC